CCCTTTGGCATCTGGAATTATCAAAAACAAACATTGATCAGATTTAAAAAAAAAAAAAAAAAAAAAAAATTATGACCTTTCCATTTTTTGTCTTTTTTAAAAACAGACAACCCATCAAAAATTAAGAGCCAAGAGAAGTGAAGATTCAATTTATTTTTTTCTCAAGCAGAATTAACTTTAGTTCCAAGTTCAGTTTGCAATGACATTATAAAAAAAAAAAAAAAAAAAAAAAAACTGTTAAATTGATGGAAAGATGGAGAAAATGAGGGAGAGATTTAATACACTTTCTTTTTATTTAAAAAAAAAAAAAAAAATTCTCAGTCCTTGTCAGGTTAAATGTATTCTCCGTGGTGTGACAGAAATTCCCCTATTATTGACATTTATTGTTAAAAGCTTCTTTTTTCTACTAAACATTAATACGTTTGGCACACAGTAACCAAAACACCTCAAGGAACATCTGAATGGATCCTTTTATACCTCAGAAAAAAAAAAAAAAAAATTTTTCCATCAAAACCCAAATAGCCAACCCAACTGGCTTATCATCCAATGCTTCAAAAACCAAACTAATAAGCTTCTATCATCTCTGACAAGACCTGGCTATTGCAATGAACACCACACCGATTAGGACCTGAGCTTACCCCCAGACCTCAAATGGAAAAAGGATTTTTATGCAGCAGCAATCTTGTAGGCAGTCCTCCTGCCACAGACGCAATGTTGCAAGCCTCTTGATACTATCTCTATTTCCATGGAAAGTGTTCAAATGAACTACATTTGTCGTTTCAGCAGTTCTAGCCTTCACAGCTAATATTTGCTATTCCATGTACACTAGCATACATTTCAACTATACATTTAGCCATGAAAAGCACTCAGATAAAAAATAACATTCGGACAGTTTTTATATAATTTATCATTTGAAAAGAAAAAATTATCACATCACACGAGAAATTGTATAAAAAACTAAATAAAAGCATCTTGTCTGTCGACGCAAAGAAGCCCATGAGGGCTTTGTGCAAGTCTGCTTCATTGGTGAAGGATTTCCCTCGAAGATGATTATCCAGGGAGTGAGAGATGTGGTAATCGGATGGCATAAAGTCTCCCACCCAAGTTGCTATATGATATCCCTGACCACTCGTGCGACATGCAGCCTGGCGTTGTCATGGAGGAAAAGCACACCTTTGTGATTCAACAGTGCTGGCTCCTTCTGGTGCAATGCCTGTTGCACATGTTTCAATTGCTGCAAGTATAGGTCTCCAGTGACCGTTTGGCCCGTTGGTAGCAGTTCATAATGAACCACTTGACGACCTGTCCGCCAGACACAAAGCATAATCTTGCATGGGTGCATAGGCGGTCTTGCAATGTGAGGGACAGCATCCTGAGGAGACAACCAATGTCTGGGCAACTTTTGAGTTTTGTACAGAACCCACTTTTCATCACTGGTAAGCACTTCGATTGAATAAGGATGCGATGCGGTGGCGAAAGCAGTGATACACAGGCTGCCACTTGTCGTCCTTATGGACTTCCAACAGCATTTGCGGAACCCACTTGCTCCAGTTTGTACGCCTTACCCACGCGGTGCAGGTGAAGTCTGTTTCATCGGAACATTGAACTGTCTTGCAAGTTCGCCACACGTTGAACTACTGTCCTCTTCGATGGTCCGCCTTCAGGACTCAAATCATTCAAGACCTGTGGTCGCCCACTGCGAGGCTCATCATGGAGAGACAAATCTCCCGACTTGAATTTTTGAAACCAACGCCTTGCAGTATGTTCATCCACAGCACTATCTCCAAACGCTTGACATATGCGGCGACTTGATGCAGCTGCTGATAAGCCCACTTTGAAGTTGTAAAGCAAACAGCCCCGAACGAGATCTGTAGACACTTTCATCCTTCTCACAGCTGTCCGGCTTATAACTGATGGCCAGGCCCAGTGCGTGTATTTTTTATAACGTCTGATGTTCCTACTTCCGGCTGTCCAAATTTGAAAACAATTGCTATATGCATTTTGTATATATTTCAACTTCATTCAATGACTAATCAAAAAACGGACAGAACTTTTTTGGTTACATTGTATATGATGTCTTCCCAAGACAATGCACAAAGATTTATTTCAAATGTAGCATTTAACAGAAACTACACTTTGATTAAATAAAATAAAACCTATAATGTTTAAATTGAATCTTTTTCTGTTAATTACTTAACATACAAGTAGATGTTTACTTATTTTTATATTAAAATTCAATGGTAAAACCTTGCTGGAAGCAGGAGGAGGAGGGGTTTGGGAAGTAATGTACTTACCTGGATTAAAGAGTACAATTGCACGTAAGCAACCAAGTTCTGACTTGTCCATTTTCATTTCACGCATTTTAGCAACTAACTCTGAAAGGACGCGGTCAAAGATAGTGCCCACCCCAGCATAGTGAGCGCTGCTCCGGTGGACATGAATACCACTGGCAAGGAGGATACCATCCTTTACAGGTATCGACCTGTGAGAGAAGCCAGCAATAAGCAGTTCATTCCAACCTGCAGGAAAGAAAGAAAAAAAAAAAAAAATCAATCACTCATGATTAACTCTTAATTTTAAATAGCTCAATATTTCTATTCATCATACAGTGGCAAACAAGATTGTTCTTGTGACTTCACACAGCAGCAAAAACAATGAAAATAGACAAATTTAGGATCCTTCGCAAATTGAACGTGTGTATTATTCTCCTATGTGATGTGATCCTTCATGACATTGCCAATCATGGTTTTCCACAATTTCCAGCCTTTAATAAATTTTTTTTTTGTTATCTTTCTTACACCTTACCTTCAATCTGTCCTGTGTGTATCAAAATTTCCAAGCCCGCTTTCCTCATTATATGCCCTAGAAATTTCAACTGTCTCTTCCTGATGTATAAGTGTCCTTTTTGTTTCCATTTTCTCTAAAACTTTGTTGCTGCTCACATATTCAGTTCATGTTATTCTCAGTATCCTTCTATAGAACAAAGTTTCTGTTGCTTAGAGTCTCTTCTTCATCTGTGAGTCATTCATTGCTATAGCTAGTTTTAAAATCATACCACCTACTAGCAGTCAATTTTGTACATGTTAAGTATGTATGTGAAGTCTACATTTGGTGCTAATATAGAATATACCCTCATCTCCAGCTTCCACCATTTAATCAATATCAGAGGAATTGTAATAATCTCTTTGGATCAACATAAATTGTCCTACAATTTAATTTCATCTTCAATACATGACAAGAACCAAAACAATTAAGATAGGGATAACTGGTGTTTCCTGTGGTTGGCAGTTCCTAATTTTTTTGCCACATAATTTATCATAAATTAAATAAACCATGTATAAGACAGAAAAATTCTTCAGGCAACTTTCCTCAAAACCTCATTTTACAGAAAAAATAATTTACATACACAATTTTTTTTCTTCTGTTAACACGTAAGGAATCTTAATGACTTGCTCAGTTATATAAAAATAATTTTGAAAATAGATTTTGTGATTAAGATGCTGTGTTGCAAGCAAATGACTAAAAAGGTTCAAATAATAAAATAACCTGTCTAGATTTTAATCTACAAATAAGCGATTTAGTGTATAGGATTAATTCAAACCATAACGTCTCAAGGAATCAATTAATAGATTTGGACTGAAGGGGAAAATACTTTCAGTTCTTCATCTGGTATTTTTGTCTTATAACAGGAAATTCTACAAAAAATTAATCTCAGAATTTTGTGACATATGTCATGGCTATTTACTACTCAAGAAACACTAAGATCCCAATTTCCTTGCAAATAATTAACAAAACATTAATAATTAAATTAATTAAACTAATGCCTATTTATCAAACAGTTATTTTTTTTTTTTAACTTTGGACATTTTTAACACAAAAATATATATATATATATATATATATATATATATATATATGTTTCTTTTGCTGTTTATCTCTTCAAACAAACATCCGATTAAGTGATGAATAAAAACAATTTTAGTCAAGATGAAAATTTTGTCTTTCATTTCACTATCAACATCAAAGCAGACAACTGGATCAACAGATGTCCACAAATTGTAGTCTGGCTTTCATGTGAATCAGTCATGATTTTTACCAGCATCATCAAAAGTGACGAGAAAAGGCTTCAGACTTACATATGAACAGTGAATTTAGATGTCAACAAGCAGAACTGTTATTTCTTTCACACAATGACAAAATCAATACCAAAAATACAAGATCAATTGGCAGGGTAGGGTGGGTTTGGACTATCAACAGAAATGACATAATTACTAAATTTTAGTAGCTTAGTTTGGCACAAGGCCAAAGGAGGGAGAAAGTTTTATGCTTCTCTTCCAAGTGAGAAGGGGGGGAAGGTTGCCTGCCTTGAAGCAGTAACTTGGGCTTACTTAAGACACAGGAAATATGTAACAATCTCAATATATATGTGAAGGCAAATCTACTGAGCCAATTTTTCTAAATAAAACAACATATGATTTTTTGCATTTCACTTAACATTTGTCTGAAGTGAAGGCCAATGGAAATAATTTTTTTTTATATATTGTTTATTCAGTCATCTTTTAAATATAAAAAAAAAAAATGAAAAGCTCACCTGTGTTGTTTAAATAAGATTAGCCTCATTTTAGTCAGAAAAGAGAACATTACATGAAAATTAATTACTGTGTTTTCTGGCTTGGAAGACGCACCTGAATATGGGAGAGAAATTTCTAAGGCGGAAATGCCACTATTATAATCAAATCTGACAACAGTACCCAATAAATAACACCTCCACATTTAATGGAACCTATTCCAAAAGTTTTACCCATTTTTTCACATTTGTTGATTGACAAAGAAGATAAAAAATAAAATCTAAAGCTGGCGTTTTGTTACATACCTGCCCGTAATAATGTCACCTGGTCATCAAGAGAAAGTTTTGTGAAATGAGGAATACGTTTGGCCCATTCAACTAAATTAAACAGTTGTTTCTCAGCTGCTTGGAAGATATTTGCCACAGGACTTTC